ATTTCTAAGTAATCACTGTGCTTACAATAAAGTTTAGTCAGAGCTGTTTAATTTGATATTATATTTATTAGGTCTATCTCTATTAGTTTACAAGATAAAAAGGAGTGGCCACTTATACGGGGACACCCTTAGGGTGTTTCGTACTCAATGGTACAGCGCTTGTGGAGAGGTAGTGTGGATCAAACTGAACAAAAAAGTCCTCTACCATTTTGCGATCTTCGCAATAGTTATCGAGATACTAATCATTAACAAAAAATTTACGCCAAGTATATACAAGTGTATCGTACATTGGGTACATCTTATCTAAACCAAAAATATTGTTTTAACAAATAAAAGTGTCCAAAAAACAAATATGAAATCATACAAATTGCCAAGTATTTGAGTAGACATAGAGAGTAGAGACAAAAATATTGTATTCAAAACCAGAAAAATATTTTGTTAATAAATCGTTTAAATTATTCAAAATTATATGCAGCAAAAGTTTAATGCCGTTGTCTTTCCAAATAATTTTAAGTTTCGTAAAACAGACTTAAAGTTATTAAAATAATCAACAGAATCATAGTGAAGCAAAAACTTGGTCATCATGTAATTTTTTTTTAAATGTAGTATCTCAATAACTATTGCGAAGATCGCAAAATGGTACAGGACTTTTTTGTTCAGTTTGATCCATACTACCTGCCCACAAGCGCTGTACCATTGAGTACGAAACATCCGTATATATATAAACAAATATATATGTATATATATTTATATACAGGGTGTCCCACATCTACCGGATTTCCTTTTAAGGACGTGTTCCTAAGATCATTTTGAGACGAAAATCCTAATACAAAAATGTTGAGGCTATAATACTTTTCAAATTATAAACGATTTAAGTTAACCAATATTAGCGGCTGAAATTCGCGCGCTCAGGCACGGTACATCCGATGGCTCCTTTTTTACATATCAATACACGAAACTAACTTCGTGACTAACTAACCTAATGACTATAACTAACTTAATATATAATAAAATAATACTTAAACTTTATAGAAACATTATGTTAATAAATTTAAATTATAAGTTTGTTTAAATATTAAGTTAAAATATAAAATTTAAAAATTACACGAT